ATTCCCGAAAGACACTTGCCCGAATGCCGTTTGCCCGAAGGCCGATTTCCCGAATGGACACTTGCCCGAATGCGACAAATGCCCGAATGGACACTTGCCCGAATGCGACAAACGCCCGAATGGACACTTGCCCGAATGCGACAAATGCCCGAATGAACACTTGCCCGAATGCGACAAATGCCCGAATGGACACTTGCCCGAATGGGACAAATGCCCGAATGGACACTTGCCCGAATGCGACAAATGCCCGAATGCCACTTGCCCGAAGGCCGTTTGCCCGAAAAATGTTAACATTATATATTACTAAATAATCATTCTTAATCCATTTCATTTTAAAATGTTGGTAAACAAAACACATCTACGCAAAAAGAAAGTGAAAAAAATAATATTATATTTTACCACGCAGACATTTTAAATTAATTTGTTTTTTATTTTTAAAAAGTGTAGGAACATACTTCCTCTTCTATATATGAAATTAGACAAAATACAATTTTCATTCATCTCCGGATTGTAAAATGAGTTTTGCTTTCTTTATTAGGTAATCGCTTCGACACATTGTCTTAACAAAGTGCATTAAATGGAGATCAAACATATATCACTACTTTTAGTTTTTAAATTCGCCACCTAGACCTCGCCTCATTCTTTTGTTCAGTGATGATCACCACCCAAGTTAAGCATAACAAGATAAACAAACAAACGCGCCTCTGTTCAATGTTGCGAAACGCCGCGCCGCCGTGTCATAAAAGCTATATAACCACCGCCACACGTTGGCTCAACAAGGTGTTCAAAACTTACATCAAAAGAATGTTAGAACACCTCCGCCAACATCACCTTACATTTATTTTAGAATAAAGTTTTTCTTACAGCACTTTCTCAGTTTTGAAAAAAAAAAAATAAAAGCTAAATTTAAAAATATAAACAACTTTGTTTTATGCTTAGAATTGTGTTTATAATCAAAATTTCAAACTTAAATTCATTAAAGAATGTCTAGTTGGAAATATTATATATTATCTAATATTATCATTTTTCGGGCAAACGGCCTTCGGGCAAGTGGCATTCGGGCATTTGTCGCATTCGGGCAAGTGTCCATTCGGGCATTTGTCCCATTCGGGCAAGTGTCCATTCGGGCATTTGTCGCATTCGGGCAAGTGTCCATTCGGGCATTTGTCGCATTCGGGCAAGTGTCCATTCGGGCGTTTGTCGCATTCGGGCAAGTGTCCATTCGGGCATTTTTCGCATTCGGGCAAGTGTCCATTCGGGAAATCGGCCTTCGGGCAAACGGCATTCGGGCAAGTGTCTTTCGGGAAAACGTCCGGCTCCCCTAAAATGACATATGTGCACTTATAGTCAGTCTTCCGCTAATTATATTTAATTATGTCTATATCCCGAGTTGCATTCCTCGTTGTGTTAAATACGTATATTCGAGAAAATTTAGAAATTTAGAGATCACTCCCGCTTTATTAAATATGCCCTATTACTACTTTAACTCATTGCAGGGGACTGCGATTAATATTCAGCTGTTTACATAAGTAGTTATTTAATTATCATAAGGTGTGTGTGTGTGTGTGTGTCAGTGTGTGCGTTACCTGATACGGTGACACACTTATATGTAGCTAGTCAATACACATTGTTTGGGTTTCTTACACAGGTACACACGGCCTGTGGGATGTCTGTTTAATTTTTACTAAAGTAAAGCCGTAGTTCGCAACGATAACATCCACTTTGACTTAGCTTGCTTAGATAAGTTAGGGCTTTGAAACAAGGAGAAGTGTTTTTACTGACAAACATTTCAATAAATGGATGCCTCTTATCTGGTTAAAAGCGTTCTTGGCAAGAGTAGGCTGCATTACGTAATGTAACGTTTATACCTGGTACGGTTTATTACATGTACTGCTGTCAATATTTACGATGAGTTCAAACACTTAATATGGGTGAAAACGGATAACAATTTGTTTTTCAAAATTGGGTCTGTTCTCTTTGTATGTGTGTTTGTGTTGAATTCAAAAGATTTTGTTTGTGATATATACTTTTACAGATATACTCTCTCAAACGTGGCATCTTTTAAGGTGTTGAAAAACAATTACAAACAAACTTTTTAAAACCTCATAACATTTAGTACCTACAATCTAAGAATCTTGAGTTCTTGGCATATTAACTTGCAAAAAAGCCATGGGACTGTTTTAAAAATTGAGTTTGTCGCCCCAAATATAAGACGAACAACCAGAAACGTGTTAAAAAACAAGAATAAATAAAACAACGGCTCGTTAACACTAAAATAGTTAAATACTATATACACTATCTGCACCAGTCTATTCTAAATATAAATACGTAAAATAGTACACAAACTAAGGTACCATGGTTTTCTATAAGTACAGAACTACATTACACTAACCTTGTGGGAAAACTGGACGAAACGGAGAATGAAGCAATCACACCAATTCTCACACACCATATATGCCCTACCAAAAAATAAGTACACAACAGATACAACCCCAACTGACACAACAGGTACAACCCAGACGGACACAACAAGTACAACCCAGACTGACACAACAAGTGAAAACCAGACTGACACAGCAGGTACAACCCAGACTGACACAACAGGTACAACCCAGACTGACACAACAAGTGAAAACCAGACTGACACAGCAGGTACAACCCAGACTGACACAACAGGTACAACCCAGACTGACACAACAAGTGAAAACCAGACTGACACAGCAGGTACAATCCAGACTGACACAACAGGTACAAGCCTAGTAAAAATCATTGAATTTAATCTCACATTTTATTACTTTCCATTTAATGTATGAAATATCCCTATTGAATTCATATCACTCAACATCAAGACAATTGTAGTAATTATACAACTAGAAACAATTCAAAATATGCTGCTGATCAGCTTGTGTCATTGTACAGTACAGTAACACAATGTCATCATCCCTCAGAAAATATTTCTAATTCAGCCCGTTCAAGCTTACCAGAACAAATATACATTTCATGTTATATTTGTATGACCTATAGCATTATCTCTGACCACCAATAGGACATCTATTTGCATTATCACACCTAGATAAAGTATCAGCTATCTGATTTTGTGTACCTGGGATATAGAATATGTTAAAATTTAAGAGTAAAAGGTGCCCCAAACAATAACTGTGCCTATTCGGTTACAGCCCAAACTATTGCTAATTATTGACTTTCTTTAATATCATAGTTCTTTTCTGCCGGAGAAAGTTTCCGACTGATGTCAAGTACAGGATGAAAGTGTCCGCCTACTTCCTGCATTAGACAGGCTCCTATATCATAATAAGATGCATCTGTTGTTAGTGTACATGATTTGCTCATATCTGGCAATCTTAATATAAGCAATACGTTGCTGTGTAAAAACATTTTGTCAGATAAATTAAAGTGTCATCAGGCTCACTACTCCTAATGATGGTCCTACCCCCAGCAGTGCCCTTGTTTGACATTTCAGTAAAGCAATGAAATAGACTAGCAACATTTGACATACATTTTCTATAATAAGTTCATAGCCCAAACAAAATCCTTAAAAAGTTTTTGTTTTAGGAATCTGTAGGTCTAATATCTGGTTTAAAGTTTCCCCCACAGGTTTTAAATTTTTTTAACCTGGTGACTAACAACATGACCCAGGAATTGTAATTATTGCATGCCTATTATTATGTAATTGGTCTGGTTGTCAATCCATGTTGTCTTAGGGCTTGTAACAAAATACTTCCAGCAACTTTATATTGTTTAGCCGGGTATCTAATGTCACCCAGGCATGCTACAGCGTTAATTTTGTTAGCTAGTTTTTTTTCCGCATAAGTCTATGGAATGTGACTTGTGCGTTGATTAGGTTAAACCTCTTGAAACTCCATTGATACAGCCTATAAGGTGTAATAAAAGATGTCTATTTTATATGCCTTTAATTCGAATTAGCCAATAATCAAACTTTGAGAAAATCTTAGCCTGAGATATTTGTATGAATACCATTTGAATCGGCATAGGTAAAGCATCTGGTTGCCTATAGTCCACAGCCTAATCTCACAATTATTACAATCTTCTATTTTAACTGCTTACTCTGTCTGCCTGTCTTCCTGTTTGTCTTTCTATCTGTCTGTCGTCATAAATCAAAACTGCCAAGAACATTTTTGAGCACTTCTAACTGACCGATTTGTTTCAAACTTGGCACGTGGGTCAAGACCCGATGAGAAGGAACGTCATGACAACCGGGCGGAGGTTTGTAGGCTACCTGGATGTTTAGTTATTTACTGTTTTTCCAAGCGCAGGACATTACGGACACCAGCCTTTACTATAAAAACATATAGAGATATAATGGTCAAAGCAGTGCCCACAGTATATAGGTTGGTCAACTGGCCTAGAACAGTGGCATCTGTTATATTCCACAACAGACACAAGTTGTTTTTGTTCTAAATATGTTGCCAAGGGTAAGTCAACCAAGATATACAACAACCTTCAGCATCTTAATGTACATTATGAAGATTGTATCTCTGTAGAAACAACACAAAAATCAAGCTTATTATCATTCTTTGATATTCCTTTAACACCCATTCACAGTGGAATATGGCTACAACAATAGCTGGTAAGTTTGTGACTTAACGGCTCGCTTCTTGAGAAAACACAGAGAGCAAGACATGTGAGTAATGCTTTATGAAAATATGTTCTAAAATGTCTTCTTTTTAGGTTTTTGAGTAAATGTTCAATTCTAGTTACTTGGTAATAGCAGAAACTTTAACAGAATTCTCCGTACATGTTCTTATACAAAAATATGAAATTGCATCCTCCTAATAGCATTGGTAATCAAATTAAGTTATCGTATTAAGACACACAAAGACACACACGCCCATGCACGCAGTGATACGTACGTACTGACGCAGTGCACGCACACATACACACACATACACGCACACACAAACACATACACGCACACACCTACAAGTTTGCAAAACAGGTTGGTTATCAGTAGAGGCTGTATACGATCAATACAAGGATACTGTTTCATTTCAATCGTCCTGATGATAACGCGAAATGATACTAGATAAACTGAACTTATTTTGTTTGTAATCATGACGGGTATGGCAGCTATGTTGTGTTTGACAAGTACCGTACAAGTACACTAACAAGTACAAGTAAGTGTGTGGATTTGCATCTAAAACTTTTATTACTACAATACGAGTTAACTGGTAGTTATTTATTCGTTTTTAATGTAACTATACTTACCTAAATATATCTTACACTGATATATGTTTATTAACTGTATTATTCATAGCTTTAAATTCGAATTGAAAATCTCTGGTTGGACGAATATTATTGAAGGTCGTTATGATTAACCCATTTTATCCGAAGTCCTCAAATTTAAAAAAAAAATGTGGTTCAGCTTTTGGGAAAAGAATAAATGAAATGACTATAGATTTTTTTTAAATTCAATACTTTTTGAAATATCAATTTCTTCTTTTAAAACGTCGCATAATTGGGACGTTAGCAACGTACCTCCCCATGAAAATCTATTATTTGTAAAAAAAATGTTGTGCTGATTATCTCTCATAATACTGATACGGAATTTGAGGTAGCCTATATAAGGGTTTGAAATTTTGACTTATTTTTATGATAATTTCGGTATGTTGTGAATTTGCGACATCAGGAATTTTTGGAAATGGGGTCGTTTTACTATTTTTTCTTACTCGTGTTTCTCCAAATATCCCCACTCAAACAATAAATACTCACAAATAAAATATATGGACTTGAAAAGAGATGTAGACTCACATGTAAAATTCATGAAAACTATAGTTTTATTTGTTCGGGCATAGAGTTACACAACTCTGCCGCATTGTCTAACTCTTTAGAATGTGTACTTTGAAGCCTTGCTGTTATGGTTCTGTTGCTCTACTTAACTCTACTGTAACAATCTACAAATGCAAGAACTTCTAGAATGTGTATAGCCTTAGTTGTCTCTGGTTACGCCCTTTTCGTGAATTCCTAAAGGTCAGTTAATAAAGCCGATTTTATCTATATTAACTATACACACCAAACACAAGAACAAAGACAGACAGACAGACAGACAGACAGACAGACAGACAGACAGACAGACAGACAGACAGACAGACAGACAGACAGACAGACAGACAGACAGACAGACAGACAGACAGACAGACAGACAGACAGACAGACAGACAGACAGACAGACAGACAGACAGACAGACAGACAGACAGACAGACAGACAGAAAGACAGACAGACAGACAGACAGACAGACAGACAGACAGACAGACAGACAGACAGACAGACAGACAGACAGACCAGACAGACAGACAGACAGACAGACAGACAGACAGACAGACAAGTTATGTAAATTAGCGTGAAAATAATCTTCCTCAACATTTCAGAACCCGAACATGTTTTATAATCAAATGAAATAACTACTAGAACTAAAAGTATTTTTATCTTTTAAAATATTATCAAATCAGTTTTTAAAAATGCTATGATAAACATAGTGACCTTTTGAATCAATATAATGATTCATTCTTGCATCGATTTTAAAAAAAACAGGTTTTAAAGCTTTCATACAGCTGTTGCACGTCTTGTCAAATTTGGTGAGTTTTAATCTTGAATTCAGTATATATCAATTCACATTGTAAAAATATATAGCAAATTATACTTGTTTAATTTTTTAAGGGCAATTAATCAAACAAATGACTATTTTCCAGCAAACTGTGTATTGAATAAATTAAAAGTTGTAGTATTATTAGCTTTTCTTCTTGTAACATTAAATTAAATATCGTATGTATTGCGCTATTTTATGAATAGTTAATTATATATGATAGTTAATTGCTTTTACTTAGTAATCAGGTTACAGAATTAGCTCTTAATAATGTTTTTGCAACAGCAGATATTCTACACGTCAGATTAAGATAGTCAGTTTTAATTTTTTTAGAATGTTCTACATTTTTCGTCACGTCTGTTTTCCTTTTACACCATATAAGCAAGATTACCTTTGATGATTTATATGTTTGCAAGTTTTAAAGTAAATAAAGGTTAATCAAACGGGTGAGTAGCATTTGTTTATAAAACGTTACTTTTTTGTTTATATAAAGTTTTACATTCCCTCCCTACTCCCAAGATAACAATATATGTATGACGGGTAGTTACATATCAATACAATCAATACAAATGTAAATGCACATGCTAATACAATTTAAATAACTAATCAGATTATACAACGTTCGACGATTTCACATCTTTATAGATTGATGGAAGTTACACTTTCTAAATAAATGACCATTCTCGTTTTATTTATTTTAAAATTTCAGAGAACAATACAAACATCGTATGCACATACTTCAATATCCATAATGAATAAATACGAATACTTGCCACTAAAACAACCCAACACCAGTGGACATGAATCAGTTGATGGACCAAGTAAACGACAAAATAGATAAGGGTAAATACACTTTTTTTCCCAAGGATCATTGTATATAACGTAAAGGAACTGGGAATCTAGAATAAAGCGCATACATAATAATGCAATCATCGAGCTTTAAAAAAAATAATTAAAAAGCATTTATTAATGTGAATGTATATTGTTTGCAAAATCATAAACCTGAAATTAGTATTAAAACCATAAACTAAATTTTAAAAAGTATAAATTACGTGGAAGGATGGGTTGTGTGTAAATTATGTACAGATCAGCATGTCATCGCTTCGCCCACAAAACATAAACAGTCAATAAGGTGAAATCCCCATATTAGAGGGGCAGATCTGATAGCCACTTGACTAAGCAATGCGACTTACGACGCACATATGCGGTTATATATATATATATATATATATATATATATATATATATATATATATATATATATATATATATATATATATATATATATCAAATCTGACTTGTTAGCCACACGAATTAATTGTTGCAACCATGAAATAGTCTTCTAAAATAAGCAGTTGTAACATATGTGCTAGTTGTGGAAGGATGATGCTTTGACCAAGAGTCTTCCGAATATTAAACTCAATTCAAACAAAGGAGTATTTCTAACGCAACGTCTCATTATAGTTCTATTTACTCAGCAGTAGCATAATATATTTATCTTCTGGAATTATGCCCACTGAACCGTAATTTCTAAACCTGTTTTTTTTCAGTGGTGAAGCAAGAAGAAAAAGAAACTATTTTAGTTCTTATTGGTAAAACTGGGCATGGTAAAAGTTCTCTCGGCAATACTTTACTAAGACGAGATGTATTTGAAGTGTCTGATTTTAGTACATCTGTTACCAAATTTGCGATCAATCATCGCGACGACAATCTGGTAGTTTTTGATGGAACTGAGAATAATCCAAAAAGTATGGAATTCAACATTACACTACAACAGCTTACTATGATATTAAAAGGTTGTAAAAAGGGTGTGACTGCTTTTGTATTGGTCTTTGCGATATCTACAAGGTTTTCAAAAGAAGAAATTCATACCATAGAAATGTATAAAAATATTTTAGGCGAAGACTTTTTAAAAACAAACGGTGTTTTTGTTCTAACTCACGGCGAAAATTTTGATTGCAAATATACTTTTATGGAATGGTGCGACAAACAGAAAGGCCCTTTTGAGGATATTTACAATGAGTGTAATAAAAGAGTGGTGCTCGTAGAGAATAAAGCTACAGATTCTAAAATGTTGGAATATCGCGACCAAGTTTTAGGACTTACAAAGAATCTGACTGAGCCGTATACAATGAACAATTTTAATCGAAATAAAAGGAGCCGTAAAAAGCCTGTTTTAAATGGGAAGTTGATGATTTGAAGCGTAAATATAATAAAAAAATTACACATCTTCAAAACAAAATTAATAAAAAAGGAAAATTAACTAAAGAATTAAAAATGCAAATAACTTTACTTGTTAATGAAATAACTGAAAGCAATAATGAAGACGAAAAATACAACCTTAACTTGGAACTTGAAGCTGCAGAAAAATTGTTTGTTACATCTTGCTGCATTCTATAAAATAAGAAACTAAAAATATGTTAAATTTGTGAGTTGTTTCCAGACAATTAATATGATCTAAAACATAACAACACGTATTTTGTTTCTAGAACAGGTGGCTATATTAGTTTTACAAAAATCTTAGTAATACAGTTGTAAAACATTTTTAAAGAAATTATTGATAACGTTTGAGTTATTCGGCAAAAAATATTTCACTTAAAGTTTAATTTCAAATTAATGTAATAACTGAAATCAATAGTATATATATATATATATATATATATATATATATATATATATATATATATATATATATATATATATATATATATATTCTATTTCTATTTACATACATATATATTTATATAAAATACATATGTATATATTATTTTAGGTGTATATATATGTGGAAGTGTGTTTTACATTTTACATGGGAGTGTAGAGTGTGTTTGACTGTCTTAGTCATTTGTTTAACTGTAGACAAACTCCATATCTAATTAGAAAACCTGCTTTTTTAATAAGTATAATAAAATTTGTTTCATAATACGTAACTGGAAAATTCATTTTGATGAAAGAATTGTTGTGCTTACTATTTTGTTAGAGAATTGTAGTTAATAAATATTAAAAGTATATGTTTTTAATATAAGTTATACTGAAATTCTAGAAGAATTAAGTAATTCGTATAAATCATTTCGATAGCTAAACACAAAGATATTTTTTTTCTATACGTATATGTGTATAATTCAACTGACATGTGTTAATTATTATTTAAGTTTTGTTTAATGTATTTTAATGTTTCATTGTTGCATTCCTATTATTAATTGAGTAAATATAGAAAAAAAATAAAGTAAATCATAAAATTAGAGCATAGTTTACCCATTATTTTGTAATTAAAAGAATATATTTGTGTGTGGTTACTATTTGTCCTATAAATGTCGTTTTTTCTTTGCTTGAAAATTCGTTAATGAGAGGCGTTTGACAATACGAAGTTACAATTTTTCTTATTTTAACACTTTACACAGTTTAACAAGTAGATAAACAACATAAAGTAAGATCTTCAGATAGTTTTAGAGTTTTTTTCATGCAAAATGAATATTAACATTGATTTAGAAACTTTAGTTGAAAGAAAATTTAAAAAAACAAGTGTTTTTTGGGTATCTGTTTTTTTTTGTGATATAAATATTTCTTTTATTAAGCTCCTCATTTGTAAATTGTTAAAAATGAAGAAAATATGGGAAACTCGATTTTTGTTTTGGTAATAGTATTTTCGTTACTTTTCTCTATATTTTTTTCAACCAGTAGCTTTTGAAATTCTAGTTCATGGTATAAGGGGGAATAAGATTTGTGTTATGCGTATTCAGTTAGTTAATCGTTAAAAACAAACACAAAACAGTAAAATACGCTTCGGTATTTATAAATGTACGTAAAATTGAAGTCTATTTAGTCTAAACTGTTTCACGCAAAAATTGCAAAATCATTATTTCTTTACACAATTAACCTGAAAAAAAATGAAACATCGAACTTACATTTCTTAGATAAAACAATAGCATTTGAAACTTACATTTTGCGGCACTAGCAATGCGTTGACTGGGTAAATATATTTGCTATTTTATAACACTTTCATTTTTTTTATCTCAAAAGAAACCTGCAGATGAAAAGAATTAAAACTAAAACATAGAACGTTCATTAAATTATTATATATTCTTTGTCATAAGTTACGGCAGCGCGTTCAACAAACTTTATATGAAATGTTTTACAATTTATTTTCTATGTACACGCGTTTCTAAATTTTTTAGCAGTTTGGCATTTTTAAATGTAGTGACACACTATGTACCAATAATTTAAATGTTTTTATTTTAGCTTTCCCGCACTAATAATGTCTGTTACAGTTAAAAGTACTTTGCTGCTGATTGGAAGGTGGGGTAACGGTAAAAGTTCTGTTGGAAACTCTTTGGTTGGTGAAACGTACTTTGATATTTGTAATGACAGTTACCCAAGCATTCATTTAAATGTGAAAGCCGTGAAACTGAAGTAAACGACAGAAAGATAACTATAATTGATGGTTTGTGTATCTATGATTCTGACACAACAATATCTAAGCGAGTATTGAAAAATATGTATTCAATTTTCAATCACGGTAAAACCATATCAGCCATTGTTATTGTTCTTAAGTATGAAGTTAGATACACTCGGCAAGAGCAAGAAGCTGTTGATTTGATTAAAATCTATTTGGAAATCACTCTCTACAAAGATGGGGTATTTTAGCTTTCACATATAGGGACAATTATCCTCTCGAAAATTGTGAATTTGATCAATGGATTAAACAACAAAAAGGGCCTATGAATGATTTAGTAAAAGAAGTAGGCTATAGGTGTGTATTGTTTGATAATAAAACAAAAATTGGTCAACCTGAATCAAATGAAAAAATAATATCATTTATAAACGAGCAGAATTCAAGTTTTGATAAAAGTAATTTCGAGCAAAGGACAATGAAAACATTGGAAGAACGTATAGAAACCATTCCAATTAAGAATATAAAAGATTATCAACATTCAAACATAAAGAAGGATATCGAACTTTTAAAAGAATGTTTACAAACTTTTTTAAAGCTTCATTAAAAGCAAAAAGCATGTAATGCCGGGAATAATCTTAATTCGATCGCCGGAACTGAGAAAAATGATGAAAAGGAGTCAGAAGATAAACTTTCAAAAAAAAAAGGAGGGTACATTTAATCCGAATGCTAAATCTGAGAAAAACATGAAACCAGAGACTGCAAAACATAATTCAGTGAAAAAGAACATAAACTTTAATCCGAATACTCAAATAGAGAAAAACGACAACATTTATCCGATTGCTGAATTTGAGAAAAATACGAAACATGAGACAACAAACAACGTTTCAGAAAACACCAAAGATAAATCTGAAAGAAATGTAAAACAAGAGTCAGCAGAAACTGTTTTGGAAAAGAAGATTAAATTTAATTCGAACGCTAAATCTGAGAGAAATTTAAAACAGGAGTCAGAAAATAATATTTTAGGAAATTTGAATCAAAATGAACAATCTAAGAAAAATGTGAAACAAAAGTTAACAAATAATGTTTCAGAAAACACAGATATTAAATTTGACTCGAAAAAGGAATTAGAAAAAATGTAACACAGGAACCAAAAGATAATATTTCAGAAAACGCGGAAAGTACATTTAATCGGAATTCTGAATTTGAGAAAAATGCGAAACAGGAATTAGCTGACAATGTTTCAGAAAACAATGAGAGTAAATTTCATCCAAATGATGAACCTGAGAAAAATAAGAAACGGGAGTCAGCCGCTTATGCTTCAGAAATCACAGAGAGCAAATTTGACCCGATTGATAAATTTAAAAAAAATGTGAAACAGGAGCCTTGTGATAATGTTTTAGAAAAAAAGGACAGTAAATTTGACTCGAATGCTGACTTAAAGATACATGTAAAACAGGAGTCAAAACATAATATTTCAGAAAACTCGGAGAGTAAAACAAATTCCAAAGCTGCATATGAGAAAAATGCGAAACTAGAGTCAGCAAATAATATTTCTGCAAACACTGAAAGTAAGTTAAATCAGAATGCTGAATTTGAAAAGAATGTCTAACAGAACTCAGCCGCTTATGTTTCAGAAAATACAGAGAGTAAATTTGAGCCGATGGAAGAGTCTGAGAATAATGCGAGCCAGGAGTCAGAAGATAATTTTTCAGAAATCATGGATAGTAAATTAAACATGAATGCTGACTCAGCAAAAAATGTCAAACAGGAGTCAAAAGATGATGTTTCAGAAAACACGGAGAGTATGCATAACCCGTATGCTGAATATGAGAAAAATGTAAAACTTGAGTCCGCAGATAAAGTTTCTAAAGACATGGAGAGAAAATTTAACCCGAATGCTGACTCAGATCAACATGTGAAACCGGAGTCAAAAGATAATGTTTCAGAAAACACAGAGAGTAAATTTAATCAGAATACTAAATCCGAAGAAAATCAGAAACAAAAATCTGCAGATAATGTTTCAGAAAACAATGAGAGAAATTTTAATCCAAATGCTGACTCAGAGAAAAATGTAAAACAGGAGTCAAAAGATAATATTTCAGAAAACGCGGAGAGTATAATTAATTCGACTGCTGCACATGAGAGTAATTCTAAACTAGAGTCAGGAGATAGTGTTTCTGTAAACACTAAAAGTAGATTAAATGAAATTGCTGAAATTGAAAAAAAATGTGAAACAGGAGTCAGCCACTTATGTTTCAGAGAATACAGCGAGTAAATTTAACCCGAACGCTAACTCAGAGCAACACGTAGAACGACAGTCAAAAGATAATATTTCAGAAAACATAGAGAGTACAATTAATCAGAATGCTGAGTATGAGAAAAAAAAATGAAATATATGTCAGGAAATAATGTTTCAGAAAATAAAAAGATAAACTTTAAATTGAATGCTGAAACTAAGACAAATGTAAAACAGAAGCCAGGAGATAATATGTTAGAAAAAGCAGTGAGTACTTTTAGTCAAAATGATAAATCTGATAAAAATGTGAAGCCGATTTTCGTTAATATTTTTTCCGAATACACTCATACATCACAAGACTGTAAAGTATGATCCAGACTAAAAGATATATCAGCTAGACTGGAGCAGTTGCATAAAGTATATAGTGATAGTGATGTAATTTCTGAAAAAGATAAAGATATTTCTTTAAAACAAATTATAAACAGTTTGTTTTGTTCAAAGAAATCATCAAGGGAATTCTATAAATAGGCCATTTATGCACACTAACACTTACATATAACTGTGAACCTGAAAACTTGTGCATCATCTTTATTACATATTACCCAAGCACATTGTTAGGTAATAAACAGTAAACACATACGTGTATAAAGGAATACCCAACTTCCATGCTCAATGTTTCCTTCTCACCATGATTTTTTCTGTTGATTCATATAAATAAACAATATTCATTTAAAATATTAAGTAATTTTTTATACATAACTGTAAACATTGAATGATTATGTTTCTGCCAATTTCCTTCTTATATCGAGAATGGTTAGACTTTTGTTGCGGTACCGAATTGAAATAATGTTAATTTTTTTTCGCAAGAATTTAACTCCAGTAGGACAAATATACACGACAAATAATGTTCAGCTATTCGCTTTATAATATGTATTTCGTTGATATAACATTTATTGATTAAAAATAATTCCAAAACAGAACATGCAAACTTGCAATTTTGTTTCATATTTATCGCTGAAATGTTAAGCATATTTTACCATATGTCACAGAAATTCAACGTATCGCCATGTATTAAATCGCTTATTTGCGAGTTAATGCAATAATAAAATAATAATCATTAAAAAAGTTTTTAAAAACCCACGTTTTCTGATTGAACTAAGAAGTAGAAAATAAATGATATACATCACAATAATGTGGGGCGCCGAAGTAAAAGTTATATTACTATTGATTAGATAATACTATTGACTTTTATTAGGGAGCTTGTAGAGAGTCAACAGTATTAGAAACTGTAAGAAAATCACGGCGCTCCACGTTTTTCATCGCTTATAGTAGAGTGATCGCTTGCATTATTGTGATGTATAGCATTTATTTTCTACTTTTTAGTTCAATCAGAAAACGTGGGTTTTTAAAACTTTTTTAATGATTATTATTTTCTACTTTTTAGTCTTTGTCTGTTTGTTTGCATTAAAATCTTGCTATCGATTATATATTTTCGCATTCACTTTTTTTGGGTAAAGAAGACAGCTCGTAAAAAGACAACTCATAAAAAACACGTTGTGTGAACTAGAACACATAGATTTGAACCCGTGTCGAGTGGGATAGCAATCGTGTGCCCAACCACTCGACCATATCGTCCCCCCTTACTGGCCACCAGTTGTTACGGTTGTTTGTACACAAACACCGCGTGAACACTACTCAGTAAGCAAAAAGAGGGAGAGTACCGAACCTTGTTTTCATCAAATTACAGTTACTGGGTTATGTCCCTTTTTCCCCACGTTTTTTGTGCAATTATATAGCGGTCTAAAATGATCAATAAAATTTTTCCATGGATCAATTTAGTAATAATAACAATTGAATATTAAATTGTCTTTGAAAACAAAGCTTCCCTGAAAATTTCAGCGCGCTAGCTAACTGGGAAGTGCCCGAAATTTCGATCGCTAGATTTGATTGGAAAAACAAACAAACAAACAAACAAACAGAAGCGAAAGCAAGTTAAAGAAAACGTGGCAATTATATATTTGCATGTGTCTTGGTCTTTTATGCATTCTATTCAATTTATCCGATCGGCATAAATCTTGGGGAAGTTGAGAATATTCCTGTGAAGATTCTTTGTGGTGATTTGTAAGGTGTGAAAGGTGTGTATATGGCCATACATAAATGACGTCACCCTTTTCTGACGAGTTTTACCTCCTCCCCCCTCCCCTCCATCACACATCGTCCCAAAAAGCTATAACCTCCCCCCCTAAAATGACGTCAAACATCAGCGAAGGCCCTCCTTAAATATGTGCGGTTGAATTTTTCTTTGAATATGATATTTTTTCCAAAATCTCGTCTTAACTCTGTCAACATCAAGTATTTTAATCAATTCCTATATTTTTCTAAAACGCGAAATAACAGCTAAAATTCGTTTTCTAACATTGCTTTTTTATGATGCAAAAGTTTGACTCCCCCTCCCACTCATCATACACCGTCACAAAACTACATACCCCCTCCCCCCTACGAGTGTGACGTCGTTGATGGACGTCACTTATGTGGAGCCAAGTAGTGTAAATAGTGTGTGTAGAGCAGCGAGACCAGCTGACGTATGTGTATGTTGAATTTAGAATTGAAAATGGGGAAGCGACTGGTCGAGTGATAGCGACTGTGTTGTGGGGCATTATATAAATAGGACGGGAGAGTAAACGGTAGACAGTGGTCGGTACTTTTTGAGCGACAGTTCTACTGGGAGAAAATCAGAAGGTTGGAGTATAGGCCAATGAATACGAGAGTAAAGAACAAAAGTTTGATTAAACAAATATTGCCTTTAAGCAGTTGTTATTAAATAAGTTATTGTTGGGACTCCAGAAACCACCCCTGACATTTAAAAAAATAATTAATTATCCGATGAGCAGAACGCGGCGGTAGAATGTAGTTTAGCTATAGAGTTATCCAGTTTGTATCTTATTGGGCGTCTTACAACAATCAAACTGCACCAGGAGCATACTCCGGTAGTTGTAAGAGCCGCAGTTTCCCGGCCTCCCCTCAACGCGCCTTGGCGTCTATGTTCGTTTTAAAAATCACGCTACAACAGGCTTGAATAGCTGGTTCTAAATGGTTGTTGCCAGGCAGCATATTTTTCAACCAAATTTAAATATTTTATAAAATTTGAGAAATAATTACAAAACGACTTCTGGTTTATAACGGCTAGAAATATTCAAGCACATAATTACTAATAATATAATAGTAATGTAGCTAAAACTTAACTTTTTAATTTGAGTTAGTAGTGTAAGGGTGTTATGATCATAAGGTTTTTTTTTATATTATTAAATATAAATAAACAACTAGGCCACCCGATCCTACACTATTCTTAACGAAACAGTCGTTCAGCCGCTCATTAATATAATCTGTTATACAGCTCTAAATACATAATAATGTTACAAAAGTCAAAATATACATTTTATAAAGACCACTATTTTTAAATTCAAATTTAAGACACATTTCGTTTACAATATGTGATTACAAATAAATAAAAAAAATTACAGAATATTCAATAACTATTTTTTATCGAATTTATACCTAGAATGTGCAATATAGACTTAGGAATATAATTATGTAGTGGGGTAGATACATGATGTGCCAGGCGGCTATGATCCCCCGCAAAAATGGGAACCCATTAAACAATTTTAATGTCGAATCACCACGGTTACTATAATTTCTTCTATATATATATATATATATATATATATATATATATATATATATATATATATATATATATATATACATATATATATATATATATATATATATATATATATATATATATATATATATATATATATATATATATATATATATATATATATATATATATATATATGTATATATATATAAAGCAATGTATGTGTGTCTGTGTGTCTGTGTGTGTGTCTTTTATGCATTACCACACCGTGAAACTGTGGGTGGCCCCGGCAGGGCGCGATTTGTTTTTTTTTCTCTATATACGATATATAAAAACAAAAGTCGTTTTTGGTTTGACAGCGTTCACCCGATAGCCATGACACTTTAGGGAGTTGATTAGAACATTCTAGGAAAGTGTTCTGTTAAAAAGTAATTCTTAATTTCGCAAGGGCGGCGCCATGGGAGGATGCGATTTTCCTTTATATAGGGTATAAAACTAATAAAAGTCAATTGCAGTGACACCGTTCATCCGATAGGCATGAAACTTTAAGGAGTTCATTATAAAACCCTAGGGAAGGGTTCAGTAAAAAAAAATCATTTTTAATTTCGTAACAGTGGCGCCACGGGAGGGTGCGATTTTTCTCTATATACGGTTTAAAAAAATATAAAGTCGATTTGGTTTGACACGGTTATCCGATAGCCATGAGACTTTGGGGGAGTTGATTGGGACACACTGGGAAAGGGTTTTGTAAAAAAGAAATAATTTTTAATTTCGCAAGGGACGCGCCACGCGAGGGTGCTTTTTTTCTCCATAAACGGTATATAAAAATAATAAAAATGAATTGCTGTGACACCGGTCACACGATCGACATGAAACTTTGGGAGGATGTTGAGAATATTTGTGGAAAGTTTTCTGTGCTAAAAACATTTTCAAATTCGCAGGGGTGGCGCCCTGGCTGGACGCGATTTGTTTTTTTCTCTATATACTGTATATAAAATTAAAAGTCGATTGCGGTCTCACAACGTTCATCCGATAGCCATCAAACTTAAGGGACTTGATTAGAAAACTCCAGGGAAGGATTCTGTATAAAATTATTTTTAAAATTCACAAGGGCGGCGCCACGGAATGGTGGGATTTTTCCCAATATACGGTATATAAAAATAAAAGACGATTGCGGTTCGACGCAATTTATCCCGGTGCCATAAAACTTTAGGGAGTTGATAAATACTCCCGAGAAGGTTTCTGGGGTGGGAGGGGGGAATAGGGTTGTGTGGGTGGTGGGGGCGGGGTATTTATTTTTCATGGGCGGCCCCCCGGCAGGATGCGATTTGGCGCCCTGGTCTTTCCCGTGAGCGCTATGGTGAATACGTTCGGTCTA